CACTTTAATGCTTAGCACCACAAAAAGAAAAACATATAATAGTTGTATTGAATTCAGGTCTCAGTGGAGAGATCACAAAACATTGGCAAGTCAAACCAAAAACATCTCCATAGCTAGGAATCAATAAGGGTGTGGGAAGTGTTTTCGAGTGAACCACTTTTTTTACTGAAGCTTACCCACACAAGACAGACTTAAGAGACTTCGATTGGCCAAGGTAGAATGAGGTGAATTATATACATTTATCAAATTATTGAGAGCCTACTGCTGGCTTTTTAAACTAATCTGATTAGTCTGTTTTGGAACGTGGGAGCGTACATACAGTACAAACAGAGGGAGAGGGAGAGGACTGGAATATAGGAGGACCAAGAAGGTAGAGAAAGCCCTAATACAGCATATGTGGCTGTGTCGATGTGATCCCGTTCGGAAACATAGTTACAAATTAACCAATTTAGTGTGCTAAGAATAGCGCTGGTCAATCACAAGAACTGCCAAGGGAAATGGCATGGGTCATTGTATCCAAGTACAATGGAAACTCGTGCCTCCTGTGAAGGCAGGAGACAATATATTTAAGCAGTGTGTTTGTTTTAGCATACAGCGTGGGCCCCGGCTTTATTTAAAGCAGCGGAGAGGAAAGGGGCGAGAGAGAAAGGGAAAGAGAAAATACGCCTACGCTCAGATCACTCTGAGATCTAAGCAGACAAAATAACCATTTGATGAAAATCACAAACCAACACACACTTCAAGGTTTGGTGTGAGTCTTATTTACTTTGCTCCTTTTTCCAAAACAATACAGAGGAATCAAACTCGTGCTTTAAATGAAACCCTGTTGAACTCATTCATATTTTAGCTGCTAAGCTGATGGTCACATCTAGACTGAAACTTGAAAGCAAGTTTGACTTTTCAATCATGACATTGTCTTCCATATAGACTGTTAGAGATTGAGTTGTAAATAAAGACGGGAGGTCTTTATATTCTCTAGCTTGTTTTGTCTAACCAACGTCCCAAAACATATGAAAATATTAAATCTACACTGAAAAAAAAAAACACACAAATACTGTATAGCCATTTCATGTTCTTATGTTTTGAGTTAGTTTGTATGTAGCAAAAAGATTTTGTGTAAAAATAAGCAGGTTGGACTCCTGAGCACGCCAAACATTTCAGGCAATGTCATCTCGTCCATCTCCCTCTTTCAACTCTGCATCTCAAATAAAAGCACTCTCTGGCCAGCATTTACATCTCCTGCTGCAGCCTCACATCGAATGCTTTACAAAACATGGGGGTAGCTTTTATTGTGAAGCAAACAAAGGAAACGCACTGTTTTTGCCATAGTGGTTAGTGTAACAGGAGTCGTGATCATTCATCGAAAACATGTCTACAGAGAGCACTGGTCACTTCCAGTTTTTTTTTCGTTTAATGGAACAAGAGCAAGCCATTGCTAGCTGTCAGATGCAGAGCTACAGGCGGCACACCTACTGCGCTGTGTGTGATGTTGTGTGGAAAAATACTTGTAGCATGTGTACAGCATGAAATCAGATCGCACTTGGTCATGGCATGGTGGAAAAAAAGCCAAATATTGACTGACTAATAAAACAATGTGAGTTCAGCTGTGTTGTTAACAGACACAGCAGTTGTTCCTGCTGACAGAGTAGCAAGGATTATTTGCTTCCCCTAGAATTATAACTTTAAGTCATTGCATTTCTAAATCTGAAGTCAATATGCAAACCATGTCTGGTATTCTAAGAGTAATGTGTTGTTGTTTTTTATACGTTACCTCTTGTATGCTCTAGAAAAGTGTTATACAACACGTAAACCCATATATCTTGCTACAAGGACTCTTTTGTTTCACCCTGCTAATCCCATTAGCTCTAGCTAACGACGAACAGTATATAAGCAAGTCTTTATTCATCGGTTCCCGGCAACAAGTAACTGAAAATATGAATACACATGTAGTTCTTTCTACAGCACACACAATAGTGCACGTTTAAATAGATTGCTAAGGAAAATAGTAGAAATAGTGCAGGGCAGAGTCTCCATTAGGTGCAAATGGATTGTAACGCTTCAGTGTTCGCAGCAGTACGATTACACCGGCCGGACAAGAGGCATGAGAGAAATGGATCACCGGAGAGTGAGAGAGGAGGAAGGGTACAACAGAGGGAATAAATACACAAAGCTCCTGTGGTAAGGTTGGAGGGGGGGAACAACAACGACATTCCCCAGAGGTACTACTACCCTTTTCCAATCAACAACAAAAAAGCATGTGTGAACGATCCTCCCCTTCAGAGTCCCTGTGCAGAAGGCCAAGCGGCTGCCATCTTAGGTAGAGTAAGAACATGTATACGACCGAAACAGCTGTTTCAGCAGGTGGACTGCCTATGTGCCAGCATGGGGGGTTACCAGAGTTCCAAAAAAGTCTCAGAGAGAAAGCAAAAGCATGTGAAAGAAGAGAAGGGCATAGATGAGAAAATAAAAAAACAAGCAATGGTGGGGCAGAATCTGGGGGGGAAAGGTAGAGAGAGCTTTAGAGGATTTATTTTAAGAAAGAGATGAGGAGAAATGAAAGGGCAAACAGTAAAAAAAAAAAAAGTCCATGAAGGATGAGCTCATTTAGCCAGCATCCTGACAGTTTTACAATGAATTCAGCCCGTTATGAGAGGACGTAGCCTGAGGTATTATGCTTTTCCCTTTCTCTTCCTGTCTCTCTCTTTCTCTCTTTCGAAGAGCGGAGGGGGGAGGAGGGGAATTCACAGTCCATACACCACGGGACTGTCAACGTGCTGCTCCAGGACAACTACTACCCCTCATGGGATACCAGGTTGGATACGCTGGTAGACCCGTAGGAGTTGGTGGACTCCCCTAGACTTCTATTTTGTGGGACTTTAGTATACAATACAAACATTGCATCCATAACAGCAAAGTTACTTTTCCTAGGTCACCATAAAACTACCCTTGATGAGATCCTTTTAGGTTGGTCAAAGTCTCACTATTGAAGTCATTTTTCCCTAACCCAAAATCCAGTCCATATCGACAGTGACAGCCCCTTATTACATTTCAATAATCACTCTTCTTTTAGCTTTTGGTCTCCACTAACCTATTGAGCAAATAAGGACATTAAATGAATAAACAACGTTTTTCTAGGGTCATTTAGGATGCACTGCTTGCTTCATGAATGGCTGGGTTGCATACTGTAAGCAAAACAGGATATAACTGTTGTTACTGTATATTCGAAATATCGGTAAAGTCAAAAAGTTAGCTACAAAACATACAGAACATTACTATAGCAGCAAATAACTATTATCCGTGTAACAATATAGTGGAATAATGGTATTCGGAGCAGAGAAAGAGGTCAACGAAATGATGTCAACATGATGACCCTCGCCATCGTTGTGGATGCATAACGCTCACAATCCAGTTCCCCCTTAGGTTACCATAGTTAGCTCTGTCGCAATGCTATTAGTGTTAGCACTGTTAGCTGCTAACTGCTGAGGTGGAATCAATCCCTCAATCAAAAGATATTTTCTGAATTTGGTAATTGTGGGGGAAACTTCTGAAGCAATTGGAGTCAGGACTCAGAGAGACACGGGGAGAGCTGGAGCTTTGATGGCAAACACTGACGGTTTATTTGGAGCTTCGGCCGGAGAATTCACAAAACAAGTCAAAGAGCCAGAGGTTCTGACAGCACGGGAGAGTTGCCACGTCAATTCGGAAGAACTCTACCCCAGACCCATGTATTAAGCTAGTTCAGAGAGAATAATCAACACTGGTGCATAACAAGATAGAATCATAACACCTCTATCAGCTGACGCCAACAGGCAGGAACAGGGAGACAAAACACTGAGAGCACAGCAGCCAGGGTTACAGGTGCGTGTGCTCAGTCAGGACAGAACTGAAAAACTGGGTCAAAGTTATGGGCTTTGGAAAATATTTCCCCAACATCTGAGTGCGATGTGTTATGTCACACCGTCACAAGA